GGTGGGGCCGGGGCGGGGGGGCGGGGGGTACGGCCGGAGCGGCCGAAGAGGGTTGTATCGATCTCCGCAAATCTCGGATGAAGTTGAAGGCGTGCGGGGACGGTGCTGCAGATACGATGCAATGCCTAAAAGCAGTCGTTTGCCTATAAATTACTGTTCGTTGCCTGAGGTCTCTGCACTCTGAGATCGCCGCGTACGAGGGATGAAACAGACCGGAGAAAAATAGTGTGGTGTAGTACCTAGTGGAAAATCACTGCAGACTCAGGCAAAGCCCGAGTTGGGAAAATCCTCTTAGAAACATAAAGGTCAGCTAATGGGTTTCAGAGTTAGGATTTAGAGTGGTGGAAGAAAGAAATTAATGGGTAGGCTGTATACCTTAAATGTCAATATAAAAATGAAAAATGGCTAACTCTGTAAGAGAACTCAAGCATTTCTTTTAAATGTCCTTTCACTTTGGAAACAATACTTCATGACAGGAAAAAAAATATCTAATGAAAGTGACTTAGAAAAATTGTGTCTTGCTTTCATGGAGAGTTCTTGATGCCTGGAGAGAAGGATCAGGTATCCTTTATCACCTTACTGAGTGTACTTCTGTCATTTACTGGGAAAATACCAGGTTTTATTCTAAATAGATAAAGTAAGTTTTCTATTGGTACTGGTGTTTTCATTTTTTCAAGGAAATGTATACTTGTGTTTAGAGTTGATAGATTTAAACAGGTAGAAATAAGGAGGCACGGGAGATGAAAACCAAACCCACCTACCAATTAACAGAATATAAAGGAACTGAATGTGTGAAATTAAGATTAATCTTCCTTATTTCTTGATCTAAGAAGACTATTCTCAAGTTTAGTAACCGTATTATTCCCATACTTTGTTATGTTGAAGTAATTTCTGTAATAATTGTCGAAGATGCCAATAAAGTTTTAAAGAGCAACACCGTTGTTTAGAAAACTGATAGAAAAACATGCATCTTAAAAATCTGAATACGTATGTCTAAGGCTGTAGCTTCAATGGGAGTGTATAGTTTGGATTGAATGCTGGTGGTGTTTTTTTGCAGTGTGAAGGATATCTATACAACAAGTAATTACTGAAGTTCCAGATCTCTTTAGTATTCTAAGTAGTTAAATGTTCAGATACAAAATTGCACCCCTGTGTCACTCTTATTTTGTTGCCATAAAATGAAAATAAACGTTAAATGAAATTGTTCCAGTGCATCACTAGTAAAATAATTGTGAAGGTAAATAAGAAGCCTGAACTTAGACCTTATGGTTTGATATGCTTTTATTCAGAGCTGTACAGGCAAAATAGTAAAAGCCTGTAGTGAAGATAAAATTACTGCTTCGGGTAATTGCTGTTTTCAAAAAAATCCTTTTATTCTTAAAATTTTCTACCAGCATTCCCTAACTGAACCCTGTAAAATGATCTGATTAAATGGCTCCATGTTTAGAGACATCAATGGAATGAAGGTATATATTTGTTTATTTCAACATTTGTTGAAGTGTTAACTACTATATCTAGTCAGATGAAAATATTAACTTTAATTCAAAAATTTTATGAGAGAATTTAAAATCTGGTATGTTTCTTTAAGAAATATTAGGCTCCCTGCATGATCCTAAGATCATTTTCAGGATCAGTCGAATTCTCTTAGTGTTTGATGGGATTTTTCTGTGTATGTGGTAGTTCTTCCATGGTAGGCACTACACAAGTCTGTGATGCCAAGGAATTCTGCTAAATAATAAATAGGTTGCTGGTCGTGATGCTTCATATTATGGTTTACACAAGCAAATGTTTTTTGCTTAGTGAATACAAAGAATAAACAGGAACAACAACAAAAAAAAAAGACTGGAGTTCAAGATAAGTGTTACAGGCTTTTGTTTTTTCTTTGAAGTATGACTTGCTAAGCATGCACTAAACAAAAAAGTGCTAATAAGTCCTTTTGAACTTTAAATTATTCAATTAGTTGAATGAGGTAGTATGATGCATTGAGACAGGTGGGCCAAAACAAGCCCTTCAGTGGAAATAAGGGAGAGCTGGGGAGAAGAAGGGACAGACTACGGAGTTCTCTCCCAAATACATGGGAAACGTTTGATGAGAAGCTTGTTGCATGAATATGATTATGAACAGAGTGTGAAAACTTCAGTTCTATTCTCAGTTAAGTTTTACTTCATTTTTAACCTCATAGTGAAACAAAGATGCTTCTTATGTCCCATATATGTAGGTCCATGGTTTTCGGCTTGTTATTTTTCTAAGGTTCCTGTGAGACCATGAAATACTTCTAAAGGGTCCATGAAAGATGACAGAAACAGTCTTGTTACCACTGGACACATGATTGCTGTCTAAGAATTCCTGTCTTGATAACAATCTTTTAGAGTTCTTCAACCTGAGGAAGGCTGACATTACTGATACAGATCATTTCCAGAGCCTTTCTGTCTTTCTAATATATAAACTTTTGGTTCAGGAAGCCCCAGCCCTGGAAAGGATTCAGGGAAGCTATATATTCTTGTAATATTTTTATTCTTCTGTGGATGTCGTCTTTTGGTCAGTAGTGGAAACAGGATACTGGGCTAAAAGGGCCTTTCATCTGACCCAGTATAGCTGCTCATGTGAGATATCCATGTACTTTCCCAATACAAACTATCACATATCACTGGGGGTGTGAAGTGGAGATATATTCCAGCTTCAGAACAGGAGTATAAAATGGAATACAAGAGAAACTACAAAAGTAGATTTGGGGGTTTAATTTTTTTTAATTACTGAAAATGTGAAGAATTGACATTTGGATGAGGTCAACACAATGCAGAAGCTTGTGAAAAAAACAGATGTGATAATGAGATACACCAGCAGAGGAAGATAAGCACTTTTTTCAGATAAAGTAGGAAGTGGTGAAATGGAGGAAGGGCAGTGAGCGAGGGAGGGGCTACCCTGGGCTTGCTAGGACTTAGAGAGATGAACCATGGTTTTGA